ATATTCAGCAATTCAGCTATGAATAATTGTGCAAATTCTGGCATTGCATATTTCACGGGGCAATACTTTGTTACCAGCTTATGAGATGGTAAGGAAATTTACCGGTTACAAGAATACACAGAATGCGAAAAGGGTTTAAAAATTTACAGGAACTTTATTTACCGGTTACAAACTTTTTATTACCAGCGCAGAATAGACCTGTTAATGTGGATCCCTGGACATGCAGGTACAGCTGGTAACGAGTATGCTGACAAAGCTGCGAAGTTTACTTTAAATTTTTGCCTACACACCTTCAATCCGTTTGGCACTTCATCAATTAAAACAATGTACTCTACTGCTTTGAAGTCTCACCTTCACCTGAACTGGCAACAGTATCAACATGAATATAAAGAGGTGAATCCTAGTGGCATGTCAATAACACTACCTACTACGACAACAACATGGATGAATAGATGTTACGTTCGCCTAAGACTAGGACATGCTCTCCTCACACACGAACACCTTCTTACAAGAAGTCCTTAGCCCACATGCTCCTTCTGCAACACTGCCACCTTAACCACACGTCACATTCTACTGCATTGCTCAGGTATTGCCGCTATACGCACAAAAACGTTCGAAGACGCATACCCGCTCAATTCCTCTGCATCCCATCTGCATCAAATATCATATTAATGTCTAACTTTCTTAAATCTTTAAACATCTTTCATCTAATATAAATACACATTACGTTTATATATATTATCCCTTGACTAAGCCGATAGCCATGGTAGCTAGTGCTATTATATTAATTTTGTAATTTGAATTATATTAATTAATAAATAATAATAATAAATGTACGTTGGCCTTTACACAAAAGCTTGACCTTTAAATATGTATATGATTAGGGCTGCCAGACGTCCCGGTTTTCCCGGACATGTCCCGGTTTTAGACTATGTTGCCCGGGGTCCCGGTCCAACTTTAAAATGTCCCGGGTTTCGTTTAAGTGTCCAGATTTTAATTGCAGAAATTTGTATAAAAGTTCAAAAATCACTACCAATGCCATTTTTGAAATAGTTACATCTCCAGATAGTTCAACTTTGCACAAGCAATATTTGATGATCGATACACCCACAATACATACCTTTAAGTGAAAAGTTCCCTTCTTGATGCTTATTAGCCCTTTTTGCTCGTTTGTTGTTTGTGCTTGGTTTACTTCCATTGTAAGTTTTCGCGACAAAGTTTATAGAATATAAAAATGTGTGTTTATAGAGTTTTAATTACCCCAAGAAAATGCCAAAGAGAAAGTATAAATTCCCTCCCGCTTTCACAGAAGAGTTCTCATTTGTTTCAATTTTTTGAAGTTATAGTACCTTAAAAGAGAGCCTCACTGAGTTGTCCATCACACCTTGTTTAATACATCTTTGCCTAGTCATAAATCTAATATATATAAATTTTTTCTCTTATTTCATCTTAATGGACTAAGGAAAGAAATTCGCTCAATATACAAAAGTTCATACGTTAAAAATTACGTGTACAGAGTTTTACAATTATATTAAGGAAAAGTCAGAAGTTTTGAAACAAATTCACAGCAACGAAAAATATGACTGATTTTGTAAGGTTATCTTGTACTTACATTTTTTTTTTCATGAAACCTAGTGTACTTATAAGTACAGTACCGTACAAAATTATTAGGTCAGGGAATTTTTCATCTGATCTTTTAAAAAATTATGCTTTTTAGCCAATTAATAATTTTAATTAATTTGTTTTTGCTGACAGTGTATTCCATACAAAAAGAATTGTAGAACATAGTTTGTATGGAATAAACTGTCAAAATAAAATTATCAAAAATCAACTAAAATTCTGGGCTACAAAACTTATGCTGTAAACACATGAAGGGCTTGTGGTGTGTGGCAATACTTGCAGTTGCGTTCCACAACCTTATCGTGCACGGCTTGTAATTTTTTAATGAGAGCGGCAAAGCAGGCGAAACGGTGTTGGCATTTTTTGACCAGTTGTATTTTTTTTTAATTTCTTTCACGATATACTTTACTACTACGCAAATCTTTTTAGTACAATTTTGTGATGAATACTAAAAATATATAGCTCTGAAAATTCACAGCGGGAAACTTGTTTAACCTTTTTGTTTCGACCTTTTCGAATTTGAATTTGTAAGTTTTTAAAAAGTGTTAAAAATGTCTTGAACGAACTGTTATAACCAAGGAACGGATTTTATGGAAATTGCCTTTTTTTCTGCTAAAGAGATAAAGTATTGTATTAAGAATGTCCACGATTTAGCTTTCCCTGATTCCATATATACATACATACACATTTGATGTTGCCTTTTTCCTATTGTACCTTTAGAAAAGTGATTATAGCGAGGAAAAAGCCCTTATTCCTGATAATATAAAGGTTTCTAACGTTCCATATTTAAACTGGGGTCCACTTGTATCAACTCCAAGGAAGCCAACTCGTGGGGAATTCCCCGATTTGTGGGGAATTTTAGTTTGTGTGGGTAATCGGAGAACGAACCGTTTTTTGTGGGGAATTTCAGTTTACGTGCAGAATGCAGATGAACTGCTTTTTATGAGGAATTAGGTGTTAACTAATTTATTCTTTTTTGCTTCACTGACTTTATATTGAGGTAAAAAAGTCGCATAAGAAATGCAACTGCAACTAGAAGTACTGATTATGCAATCCTGCATATTATACAAATTGCCGCTGATTTAGAATTTTTTTTGTTGCATTTGCGTTCATATAACGAACTTTTTTTATTATGTTGCGGAAGAAAACCGCAACAATTTCGGAAAAAAATTTAAAACGAAAATTTTTGCCCACCTCAAACTTGCACTTACTTACTTGAGTGGGCTACAAAACTGCATATTCAAAATCTTTCTAGAAAATCGAATTAAAAAGCTCGAAATTTTTACGAGAGTTTGTAGATTTTTTTTAATATTACACAAAGTTTGAAACTTGGTTTTATACGGTTTTTGTAATAGAATTAACTATTAAAAAAATAATAATAAATCAAATTAATAACAAAAATATATATATAATTATAAACACTTGTCAGAATTTGGCGCGAATAAAACTTTTTCGACCACTGTATATGTGTAAACATTATATGTAATTTTTTTTTTTTTTTTTTGTTAACTAACTTTATAACGAAAAACGACACTGAAGATGGCACAACGCCGAAACCAGTTTGTCTCCAAACCAAATTTGACAAGGGATGACGGAAAATCGTTCCACATTACATCACACTCCTACCCTGTCGGAAATACCAACAACAAAAATGAGAACTTTATAAAAGTTTGGTTTGGCCTATGAATACATTCATAGCTGAATTACATTAAAAAAAAAACAGACAGACCAGCAATATGTCAAAATACACACTGTTTTTTTTTTTTGTAAATAAGGAGATATCCATGGGTGGGGAATTTTACGAAATTTCCGGCAAAATTGGGGAATTTTATTGTCGAAATCGGGGAATTCTCAAAAATGAGTTGGCTACCCTGATCAACTCACGTCGAGCGCACGTTTAGTACATTCAAGGCTGTGTTAAAGCCTGTTCTATTACAAAAAAATCAAGTTGATAATGACGAAAGTCAATGGATAAATAAAGAAGTAATAAGTGGTCATATGAAAATGCGTAAAGATTTTTTGTATGAACAAGTAAGAAAGTCTAAGTTCGGGTGGAGCCGAACATTAAATACCCGGCGCAAGTATTAAATATATATTTTTTCACCTTTCCGAAAGCTACCGCTAGATGGTAAGCCGGGGTGTATCAATTTTGAGTAAATTAGCGTCCTTAAATTTCGAAATATTGCAGTTTCAAGCATTTCTGAAATTTACTGTTATATGAAAAGCGGCCGTAATTTTAATCCGATTTCAATAATTTTCAACGTTTTGCTTTTATGTAGCAAGCACAATAAATATACCGAGTTTGGTACAAATTGGTAGAACGGTTACCGATATACATATATGTGATCATAAGTGGGCGGTGCCACGCCCATTTCCCAAAATTTTACCATAAACGTATTTCTTGGTAAAGAATTGTTGCAAGCATCAATTTTGAATAAATTTGCTTTAATATTTACTGATTTATCGAAGATTTTGTATTTCTCTAAACTACCGTTATATGGGATGTGGGCGTGGTTATTGTCCGATGTTTTAAATTTTCGGCCATTTAGTATGCTGTACGAAGGCCAACAACTGTGCCAAGTTTGGAAGAAATTGGTGCAGCGGTTACCAAGATATACACATGTAACCACAAGTGGGCGTGGCTACGCCCATTTTCCAAAAATTTATAATATTCTTATTTTCCGCCTAAAAATTGTTGTAAATGTCAATTTTGAGTGAATAATCTTCAGTAGTTACTAAAATATCACAGTTTTCGTATATCTGGAAATTACCGTTATATGGGAAGTGGGCGTGGTTACTGTCCGATTTCGCCCATTTTCAATACCAACCTACCTTGGACTAACACAAACCTACATACCAAATTTCGTTGAGATATCTCAATTTTTGCTCGAGTTATCGTGTACACGGACGGACGGACAGACGGACAGACGGACGGACAGACAGACATGGCTTAATCGATTTCTCTATTCATTCTGAGCATATATGTATACATTTGTCTATATCTATCTCGATTCGTTTTGGCTGTTACAAACAACCGTTATGTGAACAAAATTAATATACCCTTGTGCACAAGTGCGCTCGGGTATAAAAATTAGCAGGAAATAATGTCACTCACACGCCATGTACACCTGCTAATATCTCGAAAACTTATCTATACATATAATAAAATTGTAACAGGTCGATGTCTGTACATTAC